CCCCCCCTTAATACGCGCCTGCAAGAGTAAGAGTTCGAGTGGCGCCCCCCCCCCTCTCTCTCTCTCTCCAGACCCGTCGATACAGGTCGGCTGGTAAGTACACGCAGAGAGATGAAAAGTTGCAGCAACGAGCGTATGGTTATGCTTACTGCAGAGACAACCACAAAATATGGTTGAGGCAATAACAGCACCGATGTGTCAACCGAGAATACGGTTTTCACCACTAGTGGATCGCAGTCTCAACCATATCTCATGGTTGGGGTATCGTCGAAAGAACCACGAGATGGTCCCTACAACTTTTCATTTTTCTGGGTGCAGAGTAGACCAACAGTGTTTAAAAGGAGGAGGAAAGCGCAAGATTATTTTATAAATAGATAAGATGAAGGTACGGTTTATTTTACTGATGCCAACTTAAATTAAGCTTTGGGATAGTCTTAGGATTAAATATTATGACAAGAACACTACGGCAATAAGTCTTGGACGGGGGGAGTTTGGAGTAGTGGAGGAGTACGCAGTCACCCGAAAATATTAGTGCGGCAGGCGTCGCAAACCACCTCGACCGAGCGAGGCAGGCAGCCGCGGAGGTTCTGGCGCTGCATCAGGCAGCCGGCAGCATCCTCGCACGGGGCGGTGTAATCGCGTTCAAGGACGAGTCGCCGGAGGCGCAGCAGATCGCAGGCAGCTAGGTCCTGGCCGAGCTCGGGGAAGTAGTAGTCACCATCCTCTTCGTCCTCACTGATGCTGCAGGACACCTGCAGCTCCTGCAGCGATGAAGCGTGGGCACGGATCAGGGAGAGCATGGTGGGCTTGTAGTTGATGTGGAAGCTGACGCCAAGCCACCGCAGTGTTCCATAGTCTGACGGGGGAAATGTGAGATTTGCACCAAGGTAATTCAAAACTGTTAGACTGTACAAGGCGGGCATTCGCATCACACAGTCCAGCTGCTGCTCGCTTGGTCCATTTATTTTGAGTTCTTCCAGCTGCAACGGCAGGTCCGGGTAGTCATCGCGGTTTTCGATGCTTTCAGTGTCCAGCCTTTTCAGAGAAGGCAGTTTCAGCACCTCCTCCATGACCTTCGGTCCAACCTCAGCCGAGAACACGAGCTCCTCGACGTGAAGCGAGTGCGACGCGACGACGCGCAGCAGCCTGTCCGAGCCCTCGCCCTCTAAGCCGGTTATGCAGCGTATGTTTTCCAGCCGTCGCTTGTCCAGTAGGATTTCATTTACTTTCAAGCCGTGGTCGTCCGTCATATCATCTTCACTTATAGTGAGGGAGGCAACTATTGGTGGCCCAACATAAGCGGCTGCGGCGGAGGGAACGGGGACGTCGTCAACCTGGAAGGCAAACATAAATGAGCACCACACCCAGATTAACATGAAGAAAGATCGCTTTACCTTTCCCAGCTGGCCGTCCGCACGCAGCTGCAGCAACAGAAGCCTAAGACTGTCGCCGAACCCGCCGATCTGCACAGCCGCCTTCCAGGTGGACCCGTCCTCCTCCTCTGCGACGACGCTGCACTTGGTGTTGAGCAGGCCGAGGCTGTCCTCCAGCTGCGTGGCCAGCTGCAGCTGTTCCTGCGACGTGCGCCCATCCCCTGCCGCACCCCGCTGCACCTGCTCCAGAGTCTCCTCCAGCTGGCGGAGCTGGGCGACGGACGCGTCCAGCTGGCGGTTGAGCGCCTCCACGGCCTTGGGGACCGCCAGCCGCAGAGCCTCCACCACCTTCCTGCCCGCGTCCACGCCCCGCTGCAGCCGCTGCTGGTCGCTGTCCTCTCTTCTAGGCTTCTTGCGTGGTGGGACGCCTCCGTTCTCAATCAGCCGAATCGCTAGGATGGTGTCCGGGAGGTCACCAAGGTCACCAGGCAGCTCCTGTAAGGAAAGAAAATGCACTTGCAATGATATTTGCTTTTGCCTACCTAAAACGGCCACAAAATACTATGCAAGTCGTATTAAAGAAGACAGCAGTGAAAAATGTGCACAAATGCTACTATTTTGGCATCTTGTTTTCTTGTTGACCCAGGATTCCATTAGTTTATGGACAAGAAGTACAACAATAATAATGCTGCATATATTTGCAAGAACTGGCACAATAAATATGTTTGCTAAGCCATATTTAGGTTGTGTTTTTGTATTTGGTGCCCCTGATAAATGATGGCGTCTCATAGGGTCCTAATGGGTTTTCTCTTAGTTTGAACAAGATATCTTCATAACTTGTGAAAGTATATTAATTGCATCACGGAACATTCTGATTCACCTAAGCAAACCCAGACGTGTTGGTCAGTGCAAATATAAATAAATGTGCAAATGGTAAAGGGGTGTCAAGTCTGATCACCCTCACTCTTATCGATAAGAAAGCTTAGTTACCAAAACTCTCTTTCTGTACTTTACTATGAAATAAATTGGATATTCTGTTTCAGGTTTAAATATATACCATAGAAATTCTACGAATAAAAATTAGTCGGCTCATCTAAGCAAACAGGATTTGATATCCTAAAAATGTATACAAGTTATGTAGTACTACCCAAAACAATATGAACGCTTCCTCACCTTCCAGCAAGTTGGGCACTTTTTCTCCAGCTCTGCCCTCTGTACACACTCTTTGCAAATGGTGTGTCCGCAGGGCAAGCTCTTGGGCCTATGCGAGTCCAGGTCATAATCGATGAAACAAATGTCACACTGGAGTTCCATCTAAAAACAAAAGAGAAGAAGAGGGTCACGCTCAAGTACTTCGATTAAAAATGACTTTACATTCAACTATCACGAAACACCAATGTAAAAACAAGGTTCTGACTTACATCAATAAAAAGTCCCGTGGGGTCAGCACAGTAGGAACACTATATCAAACAGGGGCTAATGCAACGCTAATACTTTTTGACCAATAACTATTGATTACTTTGTCAACTTGATAAAACGAGTGACCCAGAGGTTCTAGGTGGTTGGCGCTGGCAACTAAAGAGAGTTGTAGTCGAAGTGCTACCCGGCAGTGGAACTTAAAAGTAAGACAATAACCTGTGTGTGTTCAGGTTAGGTTGTTACGAGTCAGGGCCAGGGAGGGCGCACGCCGGCTGCAACCTGAGTTGTTTGTTTCTTTCCGTGCTGGGGGG